AATTAAATGCATGCATGGTTTTATTGGGGTTTATCTACTAAACAGAGATTTTTTTTAAGATTTCTTTTTTATTATTTGGACACTACAGTGTGTTGTTAAACTTCCTGATCAATACTTGGAGGTTCATGGTTTAGCAAATAAATCTGTGGAGCTTATTCAGAAACAATCAAATCATTGTGAATTAAAATCCAAATTTCAAAAGTAAAATTGAAATATGTAATTTGGAAACAAAAAAATCTCCAACTCACCTAGAGTCACATCTTGTCTAATTTTGCAATTTGAATTTCAACAATTCAGGGTTTGGTGAATAGAACCCTTCACTGCCAGATATCTACACCTCATCTCTCAGAGAGACCCAAAATCTTATTCTAATATGCAGTTCTATAAAACATTAGGCATTTAAGGGCCAAGCAGATTATGCATTTTTCCCAAGGCTGATTCGGTTTAATGTGCATGGTTTAAAAACAGGGCAGAAGCAGACACATATCCATTAATATTGTATCTGTTTATTCACAATTTGTGAAATAGCATCTGATATCACTACGGCCCAAATGGGAAATTCAGTGAGTCTGCTCATCCAGTTGTCTCACCGGTTCTGAGATCTTCACATGCAGTTCAGGCGTGGCATTTTACTATAGATGCACGAGTCGCTTGTCAGGAGATATGCAGTTAGCATTGTTTAACCCCGTTAAGGACACGTAACAGAAATCTTCTGAAATGCTGGCCTTTTACTTCTGAAGCTGTGTACTTATGGGGTTAATAATCCTCTCAGCGTCTGGCCTGCTGCTTACCCTGAGGGACAGGCCCTGGCTCCCCTCCTAAACAGGAGCAGGCAGCACACAGTGACATGCATGCGTGTATCTCATAACGCAATGGGGGCTTATTCTCTGAACACCAAATTATAGTGAATAAAAAAAACACATTTCACAATTTAGCCTCAAATAGCCAGCTGGAACTCTGGGTGTGATGGAGAATGTTTTTCCCAGTTTTTTGACAAAAATATTGCCTTTTTTTGTGCACAATTCTCTTTTTAAGGAATAAACCTCCAGTGAAATGCGATGGCTTATTCTGGCATTGTTTGTATAAGACGGCTTGCACAGTGCCCTTACTAGCTCTTAGTCACGTTGATTATGCTGTTTACTTAACGTGTATTTCTGGTGAACCCATTGAACAGCACTCCAGAACATGTTGGCGCATTATGAATAATGTCTTGGTCGCGCCCCTCCTGAGCCTTCGCAGTGCTCTGTGAATGACGATAAAGCGCAGGTCATGCGAGGCAATGTGTACAAGGAGAAGTTGCTTTGTTGTTAAGAGCTTTATAAAACTGTCTACGAATACCAGGAATATCTGGACGTGAAGGGATTCTTCTCCCCTCCTGGCTCCATTTTCACGTTTCCTTTTTCTTTTAATTTACTGCAAGGAACGTGCTTGACACCGTTTGTTACCCGGAGCGGAGTCACACGACTCCGGCAGTCGAAGGGTTAACTGTCCCCACATTTCTGTGATGTCCTGAAGTCTCTGATGGTATAAGGCTTCTCCTTCCCCTCCTACAGTCTGACTGGGAAAGGGTTAATTGCTCTACATTTCTGTCTGAGCAATTTTCTGACAGCCTTTGGTGGTGAAAAGGTTAACTGCTTCATTGTGTGCAGTTTTTCTTTTTATCTGTGCTGTAATCAGTTCAAGTTATATACACTGCAGGCCAGGAGTATTCACTGTCATAACTCACCACTGGTACATAAACGGTTAACATCCCCCGTTCATTTATTGCTAATAATCTATTTGTTGTCATGTGCTGCATGATACAATGATTTAGGTCTCCTTATAGATGTCAGGTAGTTGGTGTCAGGCAGTAGGTAGTTAATTATCCCTCTTGTCTATCTAAGTTAGGAGGTGCTGAAATCTCACAGTAAGAGGATGAATTAAAATAAAAACGTGTATCTCTAAGAAAAAGAGTGGGCAGTGAGGGAGTTAATTGGTGCCTGATGGGAGTTGATATCTGGTAGTGAGGGGGTTATTTGGCCTCTAGTCTATTTGTGGGATAGAACATTAATATCTAGCAGTGAGTGGGTTAATTTGTCTCTCTGAGAGATAACATGTAGATATCTGGCAGTGAGAAGGTTGTGTTCCTGTTCTCTTTGAGAAATTAAGTGTGCTGTATGGCAGCGAGAAGGTTAATGTGTTCTTGTTCTCTTTGAGAAATTAAGTGTAGATATCTGGCAGTGAGAAGGTTAATGTGTTCTTGTTCTCTTTGAGAAATTAAGTGTAGATATCTGGCAGTGAGAAGGTTAATGTGTTCTTGTTCTCTTTGAGAAATTAAGTGTAGATATCTGGCAGCGAGAAGGTTAATGTGTTCTTGTTCTCTTTGAGAAATTAAGTGTAGATATCTGGCAGTGAGAAGACTAATGTGGTCCTGTTTTCTTTGAGAAATTAAGTGTGCTATATGGCAGTGAGAAGGTTAATGTGTACCTGTTCGCTTTGAAAAATTAAGTGTAGATATCTGGCAGTGAGAAGGTTAATGTGTCCCTGTTCTTGACTAGAAATTAAGTGTAGATGTCTAGTAGTGAGTGGGTTAATTGTCTCCTGTTCTTGCTGAGAGATAGTGTAGATATTTAGCAGTGAAGGGGTTATTTTGCCCCCTTTTCAATGAGAGATGAAATGTAGATATCTGGCAGTGAGAAGGTTAATGTGTTCCTTTCACATTGAGAGATGGTGTAGCTATATAGCAGTGAAAGGGTTATTTTGCTCCTGTTGTTGCTGAGAGATGGTGTAGCTATATAGCAGTGAAGGGGTTAATTTGCTCCTGTAGTTGCTGAGAGATGGTGTAGCTACCTAGCAGTGAGGGGGTTAATTTGCTCCTGTAGTTGCTGAGATGGTGTCGCTATCTAGTAGTGAAGGGGTTAATTTGCTCCTGTTGCTGCTGAGAGATGGTGTAGCTACCTAGCAGTGAAGGGGTTAATTTGCGGCTGTTGCTGCTGAGAGATGGTGTAGCTATCTAGCAGTGAAGGGGTTAATTTGCTCCTGTTACTGCTGAGAGATGGTGTTGCTATCTAGCAGTGAAGGGGTTAATTTGCTCCTGTAATTGCAGAGAGATGGTGTAGCTATCTAGCAGCGAACGGGTTAATTTGCTCCTGTAGTTGCTGAGAGATGGTGTTGCTTTCTAGCAGTGACGGGGTTAATTTGCTCCTGTAGTTGCTGAGAGATGGTGAAGCTATCTAGCAGTGAAGGGGTTAATTTGATCCTGTAGTTGCTGAGAGATGGTGTCGCTTTCTAGCAGTGAAAGGGTTAATTTGCTCCTGTAGTTGCTGAGAGATGGTGTTGCTTTCTAGCAGTGAAGGGGTTAATTTGCTCATGTAGTTGCTAGAGATGGTGTTGCTTCTAGCAGTGAAGGGGTTAATTTGATCCTGTAGTTGCTGAGAGATGGTGTCGCTTTCTAGCAGTGAAGGGGTTAATTTGCTCCTGTAGTTGCTGAGAGATGGTGTTGCTTTCTAGCAGTGAAGGGGTTAATTTGCTCATGTAGTTGCTGAGAGATGGTGTTGCCTTCTAGCAGTGAAGGGGTTAATTTGCTCCTGTAGTTGCTGAGAGATGGTGTTGCCTTCTAGCGGTGAAGGGGTTAATTTGCTCCTGTAGTTGCTGAGATGGTGTAGCTATCTAGTAGTGAGGGAGTTCACTGACACCCACATGTCTGAGTGATGGGTGTGAGTGGGTGGTTATTATGGAGGGGTCTAGTTAGTCACACTGATTTCTAGCAATGACAAGGGAGTTACATGATTTTCTATGGAGGGTCTGTTTCTTCCCACATTCTCTGAGTGATGGAGAGACTAGGTGCATGTCGCCCAGTGAGGGGTTACTTGATAACCTAATTTGTGATGGAACAAAAGGTTAGATCTCGGACAGTAAGCGGTCTAATTGAGCACCTAGTACAATGGAGAGGGGGTATAAATGTTTGATGGGGATATTTAGGTATGATCGAGGATGGTGCATACTCTTTGCAGTGTAAGGTGTAGTTGATCCCATAGTATTAATGGTTTGGGGAATGTAGAGGTGTCTGGTAGTGGAGACTCCCATGGCCTGTTTACTCTTTGCAGTGATGGGTGCAGTAAAAATCCCTAACGTGATGGAGTTGGGGAATATAGATGGCGTTGGGGGAGTCTAAATTGTCCCCTAATGTTCTCGGGTGGGAGGAATGATGATGTCTGATACTGGGGGTCTAGTTGATTAACTAATGTGATAATAAGGGGGTGAAAATGATGTCTGACAGTGGGAGTGTAGCTGATACTCTGATGTGATGATGGGGAGATGGCAATGGTGATGTCTGGCAGTGGGGGTCCAATGATCCCCTGGTGTGATGAGGATAGGGGGGTGCGATGATGATGATGTCTGGCAGTGGGGGTCTAGCTGATCCCCTGGTGTGATGAAGAGGGGTCAATATGATGTCTAGCATTGAGGGTCCAGCTAATCCCCTGATGAGGAGAAGACGATGAAGATGTCTGGAAGTGGGGATCTAGCTGATCCCTGATGTGATGAAGAGGGTGGGCGATGATGATGTCTGGCAGTGGGGGCCTAGCTGAGCCCCTGGTGTGATGCAGAGGGGGGCAATGATGATGTCTGGCAGTGGGGGTCTAGCTAATCCCCTGATGAGGAGAAGGCGATGATGATATCTGGCAGCGGGGATCCAATGATGAGGAGGGGGCAATGATGTCTGTCAGTGGGAGTGTAGCTGATACTCTGATGTGATGATGGGGAGATGGCGATGTCTGGTAGTGGGGGTCCAATGATCCCCTGGTGTAATGCAGAGGGGGGCGATGATATCTGACAATGGGGGTCTAGCTGATCCCCTGGTGTGATGAAGAGGGGGCAATGATGATGTCTGGCAGTGAGGGTCTAGCTAATCCCCTGATGAGGAGAAGGCGATGATGATATCTGGCAGTGGGGGTCCAATGATCCCCTCTTGTGATGAGGAGGGGGGAATGATGTCTGGCAGTGGGGGCTTTAATTGCTCCCTTGGCCTTCCTCAGGTCTCTGACTGTGAAAGGGTGTAGGCCAATGATTCTGCTATTAACATTTAGCATTTTCTAAAATGACGCACAGTTCTTTCCCTGGTCCAGCTCTCATTGGTCTGCTCCCACCCTTTCTGTCTTCTCCAAATCCTTCCCCTCTCCCCCCATCCGTCCTGCGTATAAAATGCCACACCCTGAGGATGTGATGATCAGGACCATACTTCCAGCACCCACATCTCTTTGAACGCTGCACCATGGGCTCTTCGGTAGCTGTGCTGTGGCTGCTGGCTGCCGTAATGGGGGAAGGTGAGGAAGCATAAATGTGTCTAGAATTCCAATCAGCCAAGTAGTGAACAAGCCAGCCTGAATGCTCGTACTGTCTGCTGTGTATTCCTCTTTAGAGCAGACTCTTTGTGTGCATCTAGCCCGCGTCTTATTTAATTACCTTCAATTTGCATGCCTATTTCTTTTTACAGGTTCATTGGCTTTGTTTCTCCTAGAATGTTTTATTCTGCTTTGTGGGTTTCTGTGTGTTTGTGTAGGTCGATAACTTGATGCAGCTAGTATTCAGGAATAAATATTTATAGGAATATCTGCATATTATGTTTGTGTTTGCAAGTTTCGGGTGTGCACTTCTGAGTGTGTGTGAATGAACAGGTTTTGTATGTGAGAGAGAGAATGAGCAGGTATTGTGTGTGTCTGGAAAATGTCTGGCTGTGACGCACATCGAAGAGCCCTTAGTATCTCCATTCTGACAGTAAGGAGGCTAACACACCAAAGCAATAGGGTGTACGTTACACATCTGATTGGGAAATATGGAACAAGTGACATTGCATGGTGACGGACTGTGAAAATACTGAGCACAGCAACTTAAGACATTAAACTAGTAATTGCACCAAAATTTTGAGGAAAATAGCATTCAACCGTAACCCCCTCTCCACCTAATCTCTAGGTTTCTATTAAAGCACCGGTTTTAAGTCCGTGCTCCGATTTCCTGAACAACGAAGGATTTTTTTATCTTTTTAACATGTCCGTAGTTGGATCAATCTATTCATTAGTTTAAAAAAAAATCACTAATGACTTCTATTCTTGAGAACATACAAATTATATGTTTTTGGAACATCTTAAGAAGGAATAAGCATAGAAGTTATCTAGACCTGGGTTGCACAAACCTGGACCCCCTGATTTCTAGACTACACTGCATATATTTCTCCTGCAAAAGGTTTATAGTAAAAGTGGTCAAAATGTTGGACATCATGGGTGTCCGAAGTATTCCAGATGTAGATTGTAAAAGAGGACACGTCTTACAGACTGCAAGTCAGACAAAAAACCCGTCCCTGAAGATTGCAGGTAAGACACAGCATCTAATGCAGTTCGTGTCCAAAAAAGAAAATTGGATGACATCATACCCATTAGTAAAATATCCGTTGGCAAAATGAGACCCACACTTTGCAGCAGATAGGAAAACAGCCTCTTGTGAATCATGTCGGCTAATTGACTTCCTGAACCAAATCCAATTATCAACAGTTAATCTAGAGTTTTCAGATTGTGATTTATTTTTTATTATTTCTTCAATAACCATATTTTTCTGTGGTCTCATTGAACTCACAGTCAACCGAGGTAGACGCAAACCCCACACAAAGTTCAATAAAAATGTAAATGTGCATTTAGCAAGATGTAAGATAAAGACAGATTCTCAGTACAGGCCACCTCTACATGTGTAGCTTGCACAGACTAATTCTCATGATTTTTCACCAGCCAAAAGTCTTGGCCAACCTCCAAGAGGCCTGTTGTGCTCCATGATTACACTGAGGAGTTGGCTGAAGTCATGAGAGTGGCAATCCACAGCAGGTCTGTCACAGTTTCATGGTTAGCTATGAAATAAATATCAAGGAATCCATGTTTAAAATGGAATAAGGAGGACAAAAAATGTGATTCTTTGCTGAACTAATTTGCATATGCCCACCCAGAATCCTTTGCACAGTAGTAACATCACTGCAAATCTGAGATTTCTGTGGGAAAAGCAAGTATTATGGCTTGACTGGTGTGCACATCTGTGTTTAACAATGTATTGATTACTCACTGACTTCAGGTGGAAGAGGTTTTCAATCCCATTTTTTCCCCACCATAACTTTCTTGGGTTTTGTTTCGCAAAATAATACCAAAGTATTCTTAAGGTTGCAAATGTGCCTTTTTTTTTTTTTTTTTCTTACAACTACCAACAGCTAACCTGGACTCACTTTGGTGGCTGTAACAAACACACATTTGCAACTTACAGACGACCTCAATAATAATTTTAAAGCTCTCTGAGAGTGATTGGGGTGGTGATACCTGTTGTCTCTGCACATCTTTTGAAATAATTTTGCAGGATAGTGATAGATCAATATGATTCAAAAGGAACGCCTATAGCATGCACACCACGCACCATAACCACTACAGTGCGCTTCCAGGGTGAGTATTATTTGAAAATGGTTTGGTTTGACAACTGACCTTGGGTTCGCTGGACGGTGCCTCGGTGCCAGTAACTCCTGCCAAAATCTTCCATTAATTCCATTAAGCTAAGCCTTGCTGTGTAGGGCTAGATTTTTGGCTGAGTATCAGCCAATGAGCACCTCCCTGTACTGCGGGGCTTAGCTCAGAAGAGGAGCTTCCAGGTAGAGAGAAGGCATTGGCGGGTACCCACAGGAAAGTTGTCAAACTGTTCTTAAAAAGTATGACTACATACCCTAGGAAGGCACAAAGGCTCTTCTGGTTCCATAACCACTACATCGGGATCAAGAGACTATGGTGCTTGTTCATTTAATATACATCGTAGGACATGCTAATGATGTTTCCTTTTTAATCACATTGATCTATGACTATCTAGTGAACAATTTTCAAAAGATGTGCAGAGAAGTAACGATTACCAACTTTGAGGGATCACCACTCCAATCACTCTCACACAACTGCAGTGGTTATGGTGCTTGGAGTTTTCCTTTTATTCAGCGGTTTATTCTCTAATATGAGAATATGCTGTACTGACACTGGCCTGCAAAGTGTGGGCCAGATTAGTTGAAATAGAAATAAAATATGTCCCACTGTGCAATTCTCCGACCCACAGGACACAATTCCTTTGTCAATTCTCTACAAATATTGGTTTAGAAGTGAATGAACGCCTTACTGAAGCAAATGTAATTATTTATTTTAGTTTTTTTATTAAATCTGTTTTAGACAGGGCAGATACCTGGAAATAAAACAGATGGGTTTTTATTTGCAAAAAAAGTCAGTTGTGAGGAATTGAACACCATTTTCGCAAAATTTAGATTAAAGGACCACTCTAGGCACCCAGACCACTTCAGCTTAATGAAGTGGTCTGGGTGCCAGGTCCAACTAGGGTTAACCCATTTTTTCATAAACATAGCAGTTTCAGAGAAACTGCTATGTTTATGAATGGGTTAAGCCTTCCCCCAATTCCTCTAGTGGCTGTCTCATGGAGAGCCGCTAGAGGCGCTTGCGTGCTTCTCACTTCGATTTTCACACTGAGAGCACGGAAGCGTCCATATGAAAGCATTGATAATGCTTTCCTATGCAACCGGCCGAATGCGCGCGCAGCTCTTGTCGCGCGTGCACATTCAGCCGACGGGGAGGAGAGAAGGAGGATCGGAGGAGGAGAGCTCCCCGCCCAGCGCTGGTAAAAGGTAAGTTTTAACCCCATTCCCCCTTCCAGAGCCGGGCGGGAGGGGGTCCCTGAGGGTGGGGGCACCCTCAGGGCACTATAGTGCCATGAAAACGAGTATGTTTTCCTAGCACTATAGTGGTCCTTTAAAAAAAAAAAGAATCTGCTAGATTTCAGAGCCGGGTATTATTGCCTCCCTTTATAAATTCAGTTTTCAGTTCACCACAGCTCCTTGTTTTGTGTACAGAGTGCTTAGGGGTTTATTCACTAAACAAAGAGTTAGAAAAATGTAGGTAGTACCAGTTAATTTGGAAAAACGATTTATTTCTGCTATAGACTGAGCCTGACTATTTTTACAGTTTGAATTACAATTTACCACATTTCTGTCTTGGCAAATAAACACAAAATAGTTATTTACAATAAATTCCTTGCACAGACACGTATACAATATTTATATATTGGCTCTAACATAAGTTATTATTTATTTATAAAACGACATCGCATTGCGTAGCGCTGTCCATGGTTACAATTGGTACATGTAAAAAGACACAGTACAGTATAACTAATAGACAATACAACATTGACAAATAAATACATGTCAATGTGACTGCATCCGGTGTCCGACACCGGGGCCTCCATAGTGTGCGTACCCAGGATGCACCAGGGGGCCCATAAGTGGAGGCGGGGGGAATTTTGTTGAGGACAGCAGCAAGTTACCAGAACAACTACAGCTTAATTAAGTTGTTTTGGTGTCTATGGCCTGTTCCTGCAGGCATTCTAATGTTTTAGTGTTTACATTTCAGCCTAGGGACACCTCCAGGGGCAGTCACTCAGACGGACCGTTCAGCTTCTCAACGCTCTGCATGGAGACACTGAACATTCCCCATAGAGATGTATTGATTCAATGTATCTTAATGAGGAGATGCTGGTCCTATATCCTTAACACTATAGGGTCAGGGATACACGTTTGTGTTCCTGACTCTATAGTGTTCCTTTAAATTTTCTAATACTTTTATATTTTTGTTATATTGATTGTTTTTTCTATGTGATTATTTTTCTGATGTTTTAACATTTTGAAAAATAAATCATTTAAAATGCTTATCCAACAGTATTAAATTGAGACCTTTTGAGACTGTTTTTTTTCGTTTTCTTTTTTTTCTATTTTGTTAAAATTAATTGAAACATGATGTACATGTCTTTAGATATCTCCTCCACACCCACTCCCTGCTCAGATTTAGCACTCTGTGACCAACGCGCCTCATGAACCTAAATCCACACAGGCTTCACATCTTCGCAGGCCCAATCTGTGGTCTCTGGATTTAAAAAAATGATTCTAAATAGATATTAACACATTTTGGTTATAACCAGATTCATACGAAGGAGCCTGGGCTGTGCTTTGCTCATAAAGTAAACATGAATTAGGCTATAAGTAGACAATAGAAGCAGTTCATTATCATACTTTATTAGGCAGGGGTTTTGCCCCTAAGTGAAGAAGATGGGCGTGGTTCTATTTTCTGACAAAACTTCACTGCAGAAGCTGCAAGACCTAGGGATTTCCTGCAAACGAGATCTTGAATGACGAGTAACATTTTTATTTATTTATTATTTTTATTTGACACATTTCACAGTTTTGATGCATTAAATAAGTGAGGTTAGATCCAGAATCGACCAACAAATTATTATTATTTTATTTATTTTTTTCGGACTAATCGATTCGACCGAACAAAACCATTTCAATCACAGTGCAATATATTAAGTTTCATTCTTGTTATTACTTGAATGAAGTGTCTTCCAGTTTTAAATTACATATCTGTTAAATCTGCGCTTGCCAGAGGGTTATGGGATACGATTAGCTCTCTCACTGAAGACAGTGATAACCTAAAACCTATAAAATCATCGCAATCTGGTTTCATATCCAACTTACTAACCCTAAACAGCTCTAGAGACTTGTGGCCATGCTAACTCGACTGGATATTTACGTCATGTTGACTATCATTGGTCTTTTATGTTCTAATGCACAAAATGAGGAAGCCATTAATCAATCAATAATTATCATTTATTTACAAAATACATTAAATTGGCTAAAGTATAATTAAATATAATTTTACCATCACATCTTAATGCAGCAGAGGTTTGAGTTATTTATAAATAAAAGCAAAATGAGAATTTCTAATTTTAACCCCTTGCTGTCTGTGGAAATGTATTCCTAGCAGAGTATGATGTGAAGGCCACCTGTTTTCTGAGGTGTTACCAAAATGGTTAAAGCAGAGAAAAGGGATGAAAATCCATCCAAAAACAAAAATAAATTTCACAGGCTTAAAGGGACACTTTAAGCACCAAAATCATTTCAACTTGAAGTGCTTTTGTTGCAGAGATCCTGACTCCTTTTTAGGACAATGTAGGACATTTGGCTGATAACCTAGCTCGCGGGCTAGCAGCATGTAGAGACAATGCTTTCTTCAAGACCTCCAATTTTCGAAGGTTCCCACAAGGAGCATCTACATTTTAAATTCAAAGTGACATCTTTTTGCCAATCTACTAGATGTACACAGACTAGTCATGCCAAAACCTTTAAAAGTATTAGAAGACATAGAATGAATTAATTGAGGACAGTGTTCATTAAACAGAGGTCCCAAGTTTGAACCATCTCCGAAACTGGAACGCTGGGAAATATATTTCAAAGCTGTATTATTAATGTTGCATGAAGATTACATTTGAAAAATCTGCCCCGGCAACATCAGCGTGTCCATTTACTTTAATGAACACAGGAATTACAGATAATTTATTTAAAAGTGATTTTCACCCAGCACCACTCCATGAATGATATTTTCTGAACTTAGTTTAAGAGCTCACTCACTGGGTTTTAGCGCCACCTAGCACTTTCGATGTAATAGTGCAATTCGCAGAGTCTAGGCAAAATAGCCCTCGATTTTATAGTTCTTGATATACTTTTCAAATGATTTAATATTTCTGGATACATTTTTTAAAATGATTGTTTCAAAATATTTAACATTCAAAAAATATATCATATATGAAAATTATATCAATATATCGAAAAAATAAAAAATATTAAATCATTTGTAAATCGTATCTGAAAAAAATCAATTTGAGGCCATAAAATCACAGGGCTCCTCAATAGGTACAATCCTCCTTAATATTTAGGACCTACACCCACCGCCAATGGGTGGAGGCTAAGGGTTCCACCCCCCTTATTATTTAGGACTCTCTCCCACTGCCAATGGGTGGAGGCTGCAGGAGGCAATAAGTCCATCCCCCTTGTTATTTAGGCTCCCTCATAGCTGCTTCCCTGCAGTGTTTTTATTGGACAGCTTGGACCAGTGGTACTTTTCTATTGGCCTACCGTCCTTCAAAAAGCACAGTGAGGCAATGACGAGCTCAGCCTCCACTCTGTGCAACCTGATCCATTTTCTGAGAGCCCGCTATTCTGACTGCATAAGCTGGGTGCAGCGTGTGCCTCTTACTATCTAAACAGGCTCCATCTTTGTCTATTACGAGGAGGCTGAGCTTGTCGGTGGATTCGGTGCTACGATATAGGGATGATTATTTTTCCTTTATTGACAGGTGAGGTTCTGCCTCTCCTGAATGCACATCATTGGTGTAGAGTGGAATTGTCCACTGAGTCAAAAGATTGTGGAGAGAAAATGCAATTGTGAAGTAACAGAATTGTATCCACAATTGTGCCGATATATTGTATTTATTACACTCAGTATACTGTTCTTTGTGGTGTGTAAGGGGGTGCATGTTGGCAAAGCATGTGCACTGTGACAGGAGTGACTGTGTGCATTGTGTGTGTTGACGCTGTCATTATGATGTGGTTGTGTGTGCCTTTGTGGGGTGGTTCTCCCTGTGTGTGTCATGGCAATTTGTTATGTGTATGGTATGTGTATAGGCAGGTTATGCGTGTGTGGGAAGGCTGGTGTGTTGTGTGTGGGCTGAAGAAGATTCTGAAATTTCTTGGGCTCTGCAGCAAATGCTAGCATGCTGAATGTGTCATTTTATGTTGTGTTGTTATTCCTAAAGGGACACTCCATGCTGCTTGCATAGGTTCTGAGTGGGTTCATGTCTCAGATTCAGAGACAGATTCCATGCGTCCCCATTTTCTAATTCTTACATTTATGAAAATTATGATAGTAGCCAGTTTTGATCTGAACACAGCTGCTATTTCTAACCGTTTAGTCCTCAGTTTCATAAATTTCTTTGCATAAATTAAACTGTATTCAGAACTGAATGAAATATTCCTTAAACCTCTTTGTGACAGCTAGGCTTATGTAGGTCTGGTGCTACTAGGTGAACTAGACCGCCCCCTAGGGCGCACCGGCTGGGGGGGTTCAGTCTTCAGTCTCTGCATGTAGCATGGCAGAGGATCTTCTATACCGTCTACGTGGTGCTCCCAGTGAGCATTTCCTATCAGACCGAGCAGAGGATACAGAAGATCCTCCACCGCAGTTCACTTGCCCAAGCTATATGGAGATAGGTTACCACTGCAGAAGGGGAAAGACACCACAAAGGGGAGGGGACAAAAAGAAACACAGAGAGTTGGGTGGTCAAATAGACAGATAGGGGCTGGGGGGACAAATACATACACAAAGGGCTGAGGGAGACAAAGAGGCAATCAGATGGCTGGGGGATACAAAGGGACATGGAGAGGGCTTGGGGATACAAAGGGACATACAGATGGTTCAGGAGGGACAAATAGACACTCAGAGGGATGGGGATACAAAGGGACACGCAGTGGGCTGAGAGGGTAAAGACACGCAGAGATGCTGGGGGGAACAAAGAGACACTCAGAGGGCTAGGGGGGGACAAAGACACTCAGAGGGATGGGGATGCAAAAGGCACTCAGAGGGATGGGGCATAGAAAGGGACACACATAGGGCTCAGGGGGGACAAAGAGACATAGAGAGGGGCTAGGGGGACCAGGGGGGGCTAGGGGGACAAAGAGGCATATGTAAGGGTAGAAGGTCACACGAGGCCTTCAGATGGGCTGGGGGAAGGACAAAGAGACATACAGAGGGGCTGGTGGGACAAAGAGGCACACAGAGGGGCTGGTGGGACAAAGAGACACACAGAGGGGCTGGTGGGACAAAGAGACACACAGAGGGGCTGGGGGGACAGATGGCTGGGGGGGACAAAGAGACACATAGAGGGTCTGTGGGGACAAAAAGATACACAAAGTTGGCAACGTGTTAGGTATTTTTTGGGGGGTGGGCGGGGGAAATAGGTCTTGCCTAGGGCACACAATAGTCTAGCACCAGGCCTAGGTTTAATGGATATTATAAGCCCTCCAATTGAAGATCATGGAGGTGCCAGGATTTGCTGAAAGCTTTGGCCTACTTTATGGATGCAGCTGAATTTGTCAACTGCAGATAATGTGAATTTGCAACAAAAACAGCAGAACAGAACCCCAAAATTTAGATTGTCCCAATAATAAATTGGGACAAATGGGAGGCCTACTAAAAAGACTATTCCAAGATACTTCCAGGACATCATGTTAAAAAAAACAAAAAAAAACAATGGTACAGATTTGCTAAATGTTGTTGAACTGCCCCAGTTTTCACAGTCGTGTCCTGGAAACCTCTAATCAATGTCCCAGTTTTAATTTTGTGTTTCTCCCACTGGATTGGTATTTCCCAGTTATGACACAGATAACAATCAAAGAGCAAGAACACGCATAATTGTCGAAGCATCCAGAACACCACCAGCCAATTGAAACTCTTCGTTCTTGCATATTTTTTATGCATACTAATGTTTTCATCCAAGATTCTCAGATGTTTTAGCAGACAAAAATAAAAAGTGATGTGGTCTCTGCATTTCTATAGAAAAAAGAAAAGAAGCGGAGGATACACAATATATATGAACAATGGAATACTAGGAGAGGCATAACTTTTAATTATTAATCCCTAAAAAGTCTCATAAGACGAAAAGCCCCACTGCAACACACAAATATTAGTACTATGAACACAAAAACAAAACATACAATTAAAACTGACAGAGGCTGGTCCACACTACTGAAAAAATATATTGTAAATGACCCTAGAAAGGATTTAGTGAAAATCACTAAATCATATGTCAATTAAACTGTTTAATATCAGAATATCAACTGACAAAAATGATAGTAGGTACTTGCTAGGTGGTCAGCAGTAATAGAACTGACTCTATTGATAACTATATATCTCAATGGTTATAGGAATGTAAACAAAAAGTAGCGAAAAACACTATCAGCTTCTGTAATTAGAAGAATGAAGATAGCCGTTAGAGCAAAAGTATAACGCTGAAGGTAAGAATTCCTATAATTTACCATGGATATAACAGGGTGGGGTGAGGGGAGAAAGGGAAAGGGATTAGCAAAGTGACTGTCCCTTAAGGCACAGTAGGGACAGTCAATTTGCTAATCCCTTTCCCTTTCTCCCCTCACCCCACCCTGTTATAGCCTTGGTAAATTATAGGAATTCTTACCTTCAGCGTTATAAGCACACAGCACCCACACACACAGCACCCACACAGCACACACACACACACACACACACACAGCACACACACATACAGCACACACACACACAGCACCCACACACACACACAGCACCCACACATACACACAGCACCCACGCACATACAGCACCCACGCACATACAGCACCCACGCACATACAGCACAGACATACAGCACCCTCAAGACATACAGCACCCCGCACATACAGCACCTCGCACACAGCACCCTGACACACAGCACCTCAAGACATAGCACCCTCGCATTACAGCACCCTCGCACACACAGCACCCTCGCACATACAGCACCCTCGCCACATACAGCACCCTCGCGCACATAGCACCCTCGCACATACAGCACCCTCGCACATACAGCACCCTCGCACATACAGCACCCTCAAACACACAGCACCCTCAAACACACAGCACCCTCTCACACACAGCACAGAAACAGCACCCTCACAAACACACACACACACATCACACTAACAGCACCCTCACACACAGCACCCTTACACACACAACACCCTCAAACTACCCTTATGCAGCACACACACACACACACCAGTGTATGTATGTGTGTGTATATATATATATACACACACACATACACGCGGCGTGTGTTTGTGCTTTAGAGTGCACACCCTAATGCAATAGGCTGCGCACGCCTATGCTCCCTAAGGTTGGAGTATGACTTTGGACAGGGATCAGTTTGTGATGCAGCAAACAGCGGATCCACCTGACAAATGATCGGAGATGCTCTGACTCAGTCATTTAACCATCACTATTTGGCCCTTGTCAAAGTCACTCAGATCTTTTCGTTTACCCTTTTTTCTGGTTTTCAACACATGAAATGCAAGAAACCCAAGAACTGTTTACTTGATGCCTTCTATATCCCACCCCTTGACACTTGCCATTGTAACAATATAATTAATGTTATTTACGTCACTTGTCAGTGATTTTAATGTTGTGGCAGATCAGTGTGTGTATATGTCTGCTATGAAACAAATGTGAAATGGGTTGGATGCAGTATGATGGGTGACATGAGAGCTTTGAGGTCATGTATACAGTGGATTCTGCTTGCTGTGACATTGATAGTGTTTGCAATGAGGGGGTCACTTTAAGCACCATAACAACGCTGAATTTTTACAAGGGTTATCGTGTCTCAGAGAGTACCCTGACCCAGTCTCCTGGCTGACAGTGGATTATAGCTGCAGCAATTTGTACAGCCTGTTCCCATTCCAGTGGATCAATATTTACATCTTTGTATGTGTCTGATCCATCTGATGGGTTGCATGCTGTATGAGATAAGTGGGATGGTAACCACAGATGGTTCATTGTAAAACCTTGTCATATTTGATAATGCCCATAACAGTACTGCAACTGGGTAATAAACTACATATCCCATAATACTAAAATGCATTTACGGGATAAGAAGAAAGCTCCCACAGACCACAAAGAGAGGCTCATGATATAATCTGTTACTAGTCTGGGTGAAGTATGTCTACTACTGAATCTTGCCTGTGTAAATCCACTTAATGAACATTTCAAGGTAAGTTAATTTTATTTATTTTTTTGCATATTTTTTTAATGCACTAACTATATAATACATTAACAAAATTGAGGAATGGAAAATTCATGCCAATTGTGTCTCTTTAATGTAAGTAGTAATACAATGAGTGAGGAGGTATCATATTATTCTATGGAATTTTATCATAAAAAAAAAAAAAAAAATTAGGTCACTGTGGTTTCTATGCTATTTATGGGTACATCATCACATAAAAAATCCATTATTCCAACATGGGCAACCAAGAGGGCCGCACTAGTGACATACTTGTGTCAATGGTGATATCCAAAGTAGATGTCCCTGCATGGAAAAGGGGCTGGCATTCTTAAAGCATTCAGGATGCCATAGAACCAAACTGGGACAGCGAGACAGGACCCTGAAACCGTCCTGCCAGATGCAGGACTTTTGGGAGGTATGTAAATAAGCCTCAGGGACAACATGTAGTATAGGATTGAGAGATTAACTAGTTGTACTTCTTGTAGGCACATAGTTAAAACATATTTGTCAGGTAATGCTTGAGGACTGATTAGAGAATTTATTAAAGGGACACTATAGTCACCAAAACAACTTTAGCTTAATGAGCAGTTTTTGTGTAAGGATCATGCGTCTGCAGCGTCACTGCTCAATTCACTGCCATTTGCGTCTGTTTATGCAGCCCTAGTCACACCTTCTCTAGCTGTGACTGACACAGTCTGCGTGAAAACAAAATGATTTCATCAATCAGATGTAAATAACTTTGAAAGTTTTTATCTACAGCTCTGTAAATTTAACTTTACTTAGATACAGGAGGCTCATGTATGGTCTAGCAAGCTATTAACAGAGCATGAGATAAGAAATTATAAATTAAACAGAATTTGCAAAAATAAAGGAAGTGTAAACATTAGATGACTCTTTACAGGAAGTGTTTAGGAAAGCGGTGTAAGTCACATGCACAGAGGTGTGGCTAAAGCTGCATAAACAGTGATTTTACTCCTAAATGGCAGAGAATTGAGCAGTTAGACTGCAGGGACATGATCTATACACCAAAGCTGCTTCATTAAGCTAAAGTTGTTTTGGTGACTATAGTGTCTCTTTAAATACATATTTTTTCTTCTTCAACAAGTCTATAAATGAACTCTACAAAATAACCAAGGACTTGTAAGGGAGGACTCATGGGGCTATTGACTGACATGTCAATTGTCAGGAATTAAATGTAAATTTTAAATTTAGGTCAAAATAGCCAAAATGGAAAATATTCTTCAATGCAGCTATATTTTCAGTTAGATTATTTTGTTCTAAAATTACAAATTCACAATAAATTCTCACCAGTTCTGTAGCTCTTTACTATATGCCAATGATCCACCAGATTTTTTTTTAAATGTTACATTTAGCAAATAGAATGTCAATAGTTTGAGCTTTAATGAATCAGACCGTGTCTCCTCAGCTCTGTCCCTGGACTGCATTGAATGCAACAGCACAACTTCAAATAACTGCATGGGATCCAAGAAAACCTGCCAACCAGACCAGGACCAATGCATCGCCACCTACACAGAGAGCAACATACGTGAGTCTATTCTCTATTCTATTCTACTATGTACACGTTACTTTATTAATTAAGGGCAAGAGTTTGAACCTTGTAAGCGACTGATTGGTCTTAAATACCTTCCAATCTTTGCTGGGTCCAAAGGGCTTCCACACTTTCAGCCATTAACTGGTATTGCCTTATATGGGAAGATACCGTGCCTGCAGCTCTAGCCACTAATCTATCTCACCGGCCTATCCCTAAAAAAATCTCCTCCCCTACCTCTATGTACTATTAGGATGGGAATGGTCACTTAAACGGTTATGGTGCCAGTATTCTGTCCCTGCAGCCTTTCATTTCAAAGTTTATTACTTTTTTCAATGAGCTTTCATTTGGAGCATGTAGCCCCACCCCCTGGCTGTCGATCAGACAGCCATGCAGTTTTTCTTCCTCGTTAGGAAGATCAGTTTTGTCCAACTTGACATGCACAATTTGGACTGAACACGTGGTGTACGGCTCTGCTAATTAGCACAGCTTGCCCTATGTTATGGGAGCTATTTGATGATTTGAGCAGCCCTTGTAGAGTACCTATAAACCTGTGTTGGGCAAGAGTTTATGAAATACAAGTATTTTGCTGGATAAAAGAATTAATAATTCTGTCACAATAAATCAGCCTTTAAAAATCTTTAATGAAAATGGAATGTGCCACTCAGGCTACTAAGAACTACAAATGCAAAATAGACAAGACATTTCTTACTAGCATAAGGGATATATGAACTAGTCGGTGATAGTTTAGGGGTTATGAATGTGATCCTTTAAGGGATTAAGGAAGGGATTTGCCTGTAGCTGAAGACAGACCCACTACAATGCATCTAAGGAATGTGTATTGTATGTATGTTTTATTTATTTATTTTGACTGGATTATCTATATAAACCATTCTACGTGCAAATAGGGACTAATTTTCTTCCTACGGTTTCCCTTTAACCGAGGTTAATCCTACCCTTCATCTCGATGAGAAAAAGTTCTATAAATACCATTAAAAAACTCTTAAAACTGAACTTCTAGAGAAGTGACAGTTCTTTGTTAACTCTCCACGGTGAGTGTTTTATTCATTACCTGGATAAAGAATGTTGAAGAATTAATAAAAACAAGCCTACTTCACGTCAGCTGTACTTCCACTATGTGTGTGAGGTTGTTATCCCATAATGCCTTAGGTGCACTCAGAACGCTTAGGCATCTATGGAGAAATTCTGTGTGACCACATATCAGCTTGTCATAGTCTTCAGCAGCCACATGCGTGAGCATATGTCGTTTTGGGTGTAGATTATTAAAATAGTACAACAACTAGTGAGATCTTTTCAATTACTAACTTTTAGTTGGCTATTTGCTTATGTAAAAATGACACCATTGCCAGTGAATCATTAAGGCCTATAAGGGACACTCCACTGCCCAAGTTAAAAAAAAACAAAAAACAATATATATATACAAAAATAAACAAATCACTGTTTAGTAGATATACCCCTATTGAAAACATGCATGCATTTATTTATGCATTTTTTTTCATTGTGTGCATAGCTGAAAGCAGTTTGCAGAAGCTGCAGATCTCTTGTCTGCAGCCTTTGCAAGCCAGGACTGGTTGTCTGACAGCTCGCGGTGTAGCAAGGTTAAGTTATAAAAGTGCCAATTTATTTTGAAACCTGCATTTTTTTTGTAAAATAAATGGACACATGCTTCACATATAAAGCAATTCAGCAAGCTAAAATGCTTTAGGGGTCTGGAGTGTTCCTTTAAACTATTTTCAAGATTTTAAGATTTAAATGTGGGATTATATGGTGTTTTAGTTTCATAAGAAAACGTAGTCCAACTGACGACACTCGAGAACCTCTCAATAATAAAAAGAGTTTAAGTTGTTTCCAATACGACAGATATTCTTGGTTTCTATCTATAACAAGTCTTTTTGACATAGGTGGATAAATAGTGTTAGGCGTCTTGCCCAAGGACCCTTACTGGCGAGGAAGTCTAATCAAGATTAAAACATTAATATTTGTCTGGACATGGACTTCTAATTCTTTTTTTTCCTTCACAGAAAATGAAAAATTTAAGTTATTTTCCAAGGAGTGTGGTTTCCTCAAAGACTGTGATAAGACGTCCCGTATGACTTTCAATCAGACCTTTTATTTTAAGTCCAGCAAGTGCTGCAATACAAATGAATGCAAACAAGACCCCATAACTTGTGAGTATTGTTCCATGAAAACCGTACATCGCTATATTGCACATACAGTATATTTCTTCCCATGTTAAAGTGATTCTATAGTGCCAGGAAAAAAAAGCCGTTTTCCTGGCACTATAGGTTTCTAAGGTGCCCCCTCCCTCACACATCCCCGCCTCCCGCAGAGCTAAAAGAATTAAAACTCCTTTAGTCACTTACCTAAATCCATGTCCCTCGGCGCTGGGTCAGGCTCCGCCCAATGGCAGCGCTCGCATTAAGATTTCCCCATAGGAAAGCATCAATCAATGCTTTCCTATGAGGAAAAATCTGACGCTGGAGGTCCTCATGCAGAGCGTGAGAATGTCCAGCGTCAGATACTGGACCAAAGATCTGTATGGATACAGGAAGCGCCCCTAGTGGCTGTCTGATGGACAGCCATTGTGGGCAGGCTTAGAGCTGCAATGTAAACATGGCTGTTTATCTGCACTAAGTACAAAAGTACAAAGTACAAAAAGGACACTGCACCCAGACTACTTCAATGAGCTGAAGTGGTCTGGGTGCCTATAGTGTCCCTTTAATACAATTTGGCAAACTTGAGAACTTTGTAAGCTATGTAGCTGGAGTCCCCAGCTCCCTCCCTACTTCTTTTTGACTAGAAACCTTTACAGGTGTATTCACTAATGTCCGAAATTCACTTTGAATTAGTGAATAACCTGGAAATGTTAAAAAAGGTTATTTTTCTAATATATTTTCTATATTCTTTTATTTTTATTTACAAGCTTTGCTGTATGTAAATGAGTAAACACATTAATGGCACTCCTGGGGATAATGCAGAGTTCACTTGCCACGCATGCAGCAATTCTCCATTAGTTGCCCAAGACATAATGGTCTGATGAAGTTGCTGAATGCAACTATGGAGGTAAGGTTTGAACTTACCTCCACTGCGATATTCAGCCCTTCCTCCCCGACCCCCAAAACCTCTGCAACAGTGTTAGCAAGGAACCAGCCACTCTTGCTTTTCTGGAAGTGAATTCCTCTTTAAGACGAACAAAGCATGATGGTGGTAAAACTACAAAAGCTGGGGGTCTTCCTTTTGGACAACCCGTGACCAGACAGACCAGCTGAATCTCTGTGCCTCCAGCGGCGATGTTCCTGTGTATAGTTTAGGACACTTGCCCTGCTATGTTCCTAATTTTTAAGAATCTTGCTGTTTTAATTCTCTTACTAGTTCCAGACAAGAGAGAAAAACTATCACTGACCTGTTCCTACTGTAATGAAAAAGCTGACAAATGCAAGAGCAGTGAGCAGCTGCAGTGTATGGGAGACGAGACCAAATGTCTAACCTACGTCTACACCAAGATGGAAAGTGAGTGTTGCAACATGGGATAATTTTTTTTAATTAAAAAAATATATATATTATTACAACAACATCAAGACCCCAGAAAGGTACCTGAAACCCGGAGAAAGCTAAATGCACATTTCCTGATTAACTACTTAAATGTTATTATGAGTATCTTTAAAAGAGGTGGATAGCAAAGGTCCTCTTCGAGTAATTATCAAAGAGACGCTTTAGGCACTGTAACCGCTTCATCTCATTGAAATGTTTGTAGAGTTTGGAGTCCCTTGGTTCATTCTAACGTTAAAAGAGGGGCATCACAACCCACTGTGAGGAATCATTAGCCTGATCAGCAATGGGTGGCAACGATTGGCTGAGTGTCAGCTGGCCGTTTTTAGTGACTCACAGTTGCCCATTGCTGGTGTAAATTGGTATGGCCAACTAAGAGTCTAATCTGTGCCATTGTCAAACTCCCGACAAGTTTAATTTAGTAAATAACCTTATCAACGATGCTTTAGTCTATGCCCCGTGATGGAGCACCTGTACCTTGCCATGATTATTTTTTTTAATCTATTCAGCAGTTTACTCTAATAAACAAAAAATATAAATAATTTCCAGCTAATTGGGCACATGCTGGACACAAAGTATCATAAGAGAATGAGTCCATATTTCCTACACAGTGTCAAGCTTGAGGCTTCTCTGCAGTTCACAGTCTCTGATTGGCTGATGACATTACACGATCTCCGCAGCCTTGCTTTTTTTTTCTTTTCTTTTTTTATCAGTCACTGTCATCGACAGTTTGACAAATGTGATGTTATTCCAAAATGGCCACCTCCGCACTTAACACAGACAGGTATTAAAGTGCTAATTTTGGCTAAACTGGCTAAATCTTGGTTAGATGAAAATAATATGAATCTATTAGCATTCTTGTTTAAAACTAATTTGGGAAAATATGTGTTAAGATGACATTGTCCCTTTAAAATGTAATTTATAATTTATTGTGACAAAAACACCAGCAGATTTAAAACCTATATTTTGACACAAATGTTTGCTTCTTACTACTTTCTCTCACATCAATTTCAGATAACAAGAATGTCACCCACTCAATGGCTGGTTGTGCAAATGAGAATATGTGTGCTTTAAAGAAGGCAGTCTCTCACCACGGAGATCAAGGAGCTATAACCATAAAGTTTGAATGCAACCGTGCCTCCTCGATTCTTTCCAATCTTCTCCTCCCAGCAGTGTCTGGCCTCCTGTTCCTCAAACTCTTGTCTTAAGAGCTTACCATGGAGGCTGTGTGGATTGAAGCAATCCTTCCAAGGCTTGGGGATGGGGGAATTTTGGAGAGCATTGCAAAGCAAGGTGTACCCATATACAGTATACGAGCAAGGCAATGCATGTTTATACACTGAATATTTGCAGACCCACTTAGATCTATATAACTGTGCAAACCCATTTACATTCTCGTTATGTATGTGCCGAACAATGTATACCTATCTACACAAGACAAGCAGAAAAAAAAATATGTATATCTCATATACAACACAGGAAAATCATATAAAATATACAGAATATGTTCCACGCAATGCATGGCTAATAGTGGTACAATGTTAACGTTATGCTTACAACATGTCAAGAACTGTCAAGGCTTTCATCAAAAAAGCAGCATTGCTTTTAAGCTCTGGCAGGAAAAGGTCAAAGGTTATACAAAAACAACCTTACCTAGAATTATCCTGATCAGCAACTTGTACGTCAGACATTTGCCCCTTTTCTCTTAACGATATAAAGACCCACCGAGTGCGGACATTAACCGGGTCTAAAAAAAAAATCTGCAGCATTAGCGCCAAAGTCTGTATTTACTTCATTCTCTATCATCGAATCAGGCATGGATGAGATTTATTAAAATGAGATGAAATCTACGTTATGTTGGATTTGGCAGAAGGCTTTACCTTAGTGCTTAGTTCAATTTTGGAAAATGATCCTATACTCTATATACATGTAATCTTTCCATTGTTCCTATGAACGTGCGTGTGAGTGAGTGTGTGCGCGGTGGGTGTGGTTTCACCCGCTGTTGGGAAGCAAAACTTTAAATTAATAAATTAAAGAAAAATTTTTAAAGAAAAAAAAATGGTGTTTTTGATTTTTTTGAGGTTGTGTCTGCAAGCAGCAAGGAGGTGCCTGAGACTGCGTGTGTTTGGGTTGTTTAGCTGGCTTTATCACTGTAACTGTAAAGCGTGTGAAGAATATTTACAAAGGTAAGAGAAGGAAAAAATATGGTTCTTATAAATATTCACTTTTTAAAGCACAAGACAGACAAAGCAATGCAAAGAGGGGTGCTCATTGAAGTGATATGGAGATAGCATGAAAAAAGCACAGGGAAGAGGCAGAGAGAACTGTGGGGAAAAGAGGGTTAGAATGGAAAAGATAGGAAGAGTGCAATGGGAGATACAGAGAGAGACACTGGGAGAGATAGGGAGAGTGCAATGGGAGATACAGAGAGAGACACTGGGAGAGATACGGAGAGTGCAATGGGAGATACAGAGAGACACTGGGAGAGATAGAGAGAGTGCAATGGGAGATACAGAGAGACAGCAATGGGAGATACAGAGAGAGAGAGACACTGGGAGAGATAGGGAGAGTGCAATGGGAGATACAGAGAGAGACATCGGGAGAGATAGGAAGAGTGCAATGGGAGATACAGAGAGACCCTGGGAGAGATATGGAGAGTGGAATGGGAGATATAGAGAGACACTGGGAGAGATAGGGAGAGTGCAATGGGAGATACAGAGAGAGACACTGGGAGAGATAGGGAGAGTGCAATGGGAGATACAGAGAGAGACATTGGGAGAGATAGGGAGAGTGCAATGGGAGATACAGAGAGACCCTGGGAGAGATAGAGAGAGTGCAATGGGAGATACAGAGAGAGAGAGACGCTGGGATAGATAGGAAGAGTGCAATGGGAGATACAGAGAGAGACATCGGGAGAGATAGGAAGAGTGCAATGGGAGATACAGAGAGACCCTGGGAGAGATAGGGAGAGTGCAATGGGAGATATAGAGAGACACTGGGAGAGATAGGGAGAGTGCAATGGGAGATACAGAGAGAGACCCTGGGAGAGATAGGGAGAGTGCAATGGGAGATACAGAGAGAGACACTGGGAGAGATAGGGAGAGTGCAATGGGAGATACAGAGAGAGACACTGGGAGACAGGGAAGAGCAATGAGATACAGAGAGAGAGACACTGGGGGAGATAGGGAGGCGCAATGGGAGATATAGAGACACACTGGGGAGATAGGGAGAGTGCAATGGGAGATACAGAGACACTGGGGAGATAGGAGCGCAATGAGATATAGAGAGACACTGGGAGAGATAGGGAGAGTGCAATGGGAGATATAGAGAGACCCTGGGAGAGATAGGGAGAGTACAGAGAGCACTGGGAGAGACAGAGAGTGCAATGGGAGATACAGAGAGAGAGCTGGGATAGATAGGAAGAGTGCAATGGGAGATACAGAGAGAGACATGGGAGAGATAGGAAGAGTGCATTGGGAGATGAGAGACCCTGGGAGATAGGGAGAGTGCAATGGGAGATACAGAGAGAGACACTGGGAGAGATAGGGAGAGTGCAATGGGAGATACAGAGAGACACTGGGAGAGATAGGGAGAGTGCAATGGGAGATACAGAGAGAGACCCTGGGAGAGATAGGGAGAGCAATGGGAGATACAGAGAGAGACACTGGGATAGATAGGAGAGTGCAATGGGAGATACAGAGAGAGACATCGGGAGAGATAGGAAGAGTGCAATGGGAGATACAGAGAGACCCTGGGAGAGATAGGGAGAGTGCAATGGGAGATATAGAGAGACACTGGGAGAGATAGGGAGAGTGCAATGGGAGATACAGAGAGAGACATCGGGAGAGATAGGAAGAGTGCAATGGGAGATACAGAGAGACCCTGGGAGAGATAGGGAGAGTGCAATGGGAGATATAGAGAGACACTGGGAGAAATAGGGAGAGTGCAATGGGAGATACAGAGAGAGACACTGGGAGAGATAGGGAGAGTGCAATGGGAGATACAGAGAGAGACACTGGGAGAGATAGGAAGAGTGCAATGGGAGATACAGAGAGAGAGACACTGGGGGAGATAGGGAAAGCGCAATGGGAGATATAGAGAGACACTGGGGGAGATAGGGAGAGTGCAATGGGAGATATAGAGAGACACTGGGGGACATAGGGAGAGTGCAATGGGAGATACAGAGAGAGAGACACTGGGGGAGATAGGGAGAGCGCAATGGGAGATATAGAGAGACACTGGGAGAGATAGGGAGAGTGCAATGGGAGATATAGAGAGACACTGGGAGAGATAGGGAGAGTGCAATGGGAGATACAGAGAGAGACACTGGGAGAGATAGAGAGAGTGCAATGGGAGATACAGAGAGAGAGAGACGCTGGGATAGATAGGAAGAGTGCAATGGGAGATACAGAGAGAGACATCGGGAGAGATAGGAAGAGTGCAATGGGAGATACAGAGAGACCCTGGGAGAGATAGGGAGAGTGCAATGGGAGATATAGAGAGACACTGGGAGAGATAGGGAGAGTGCAATGGGAGATACAGAGAGAGACCCTGGGAGAGATAGGGAGAATGCAATGGGAGATACAGAGAGAGACACTGGGAGAGATAGGGAGAGTGCAATGGGAGATACAGAGAGAGACACTGGGAAAGATAGGAAGAGTGCAATGGCAGATACAGAGAGATACACTAGGAGAGAGGGAGAGTGCAATGGGAGATACAGAGAGAGACAATGAGAGAGATAGGGAGAGTGCAATGCAAGACACGGAGAGACACTGGGAGAGAGAGGAAAAGTGCAATGGGAGACACTGGGAGAGATAGGGAGAGTGCAATAGGAGATACAGAAAGACACTAGGAGAGATAGGGAGAGTGCAATGAGAGATATATAGAGAGAGACACTGAGAGAAACAGGAAGAGTGCAACGGGAGATACAGAGAGACACTGGGAGAGATAGGGAGAGTGCAATGCAAGACACAGAGAGAACCAAGAAAAAAAGCTCTGAACACTGGAAAACCAGTAATTCGAGCATGTGCTGGAACGATAATGACAAGAATAATAAATAGTATAATAGATAAAGAGATATGAAATAAAACTCTTATCCAAATTATCAGATCATCCCAATACTGAAAAAGTGTAAACAAGCCTAGTAGGCTAAACCTCCCTAATGTTAAACCGTGACTCCAATACACTACAGACTCCTGACTTTAATAAATCTTAATAGGTCAAAGTCTGTATATATTACCAAATAAATATCTATGAGTTCGCGGATACAATTTCCTAATTCCTAAGTTACTTCTTATAACCCTAGATATTGTGGTACAAACAATAAGACAATGTATCAAGCTTGAGACTCGAATATGTAGTGGGCTCCACTTGTTTCAAAGTAACAATATGTAACACTGTACTTAGTTGATATACTGTGGAGACATTAGCCAACTCCCTCAAATGTGGAGAAAAATACTCTAGCTTATATTATAGTGTCCTTAGTAGAGACTAATTATATTTGATAAATGTCTAAAAAAATGAAACAGTAAGCAGACTCCTACAAAGATACTAAATAGTAGTAGGGAATTAGGACAGGAAAGGAGGTTAGAAAGAAATTAAAATATTAATGTGCAGAACCATACTTAGAATGTTGGTTGCCTGCACATAGTGAAAGTGCCCAGTGAAACAGTGAAAAGAAGTGAGAGTTCGGAAAACCCGACGTGCGTTTCGGTGCCTAAAGCATGCACCTTCGTCAGGGGCCAGAATGTATTTAGGGGTTAGGCCCCTGGACACCTCTGGAGTGTGTAGGTGTTTCTATGAAATTCACAGTAAGCTTGTCCTTTCAGGATTAAGCCTTACTAGTGGTTTTTCATTACTCCATTTCAAGACACAGAGAGACACTGGGAGAGAGAGAAAAAGTGCAATGGGAGACACTGGGAGAGATAGGGAGAGTGCAATAGGAGATACAGAAAGACACTAGGAGAGATAGGGAGAGTGCAATGGGAGATACAGAGAGAGACACTGGGAGACATAGGAAGAGTGCAATGGGAGATACAGAGAGAGAGACACTGGGAGAGATAGAGAAAGTGCAATGGGAGATATAGAGGGACACTGGGAGAGATAGGGAGAGTGCAATGTGAGATACAGAGAGAGACACTGGGAGAGATAGGGAGAGTGCAATGGGAGATACAGAGAGAGACCCTGGGAGAGATAGGGAGAGTGCAATGCAAGATACAGACAGATACTGGGAGAGATAGGGAGAGTGCAATGCAAGATACAGACAGACACTGGGAGAGATAGGGAGAGTGCAATGCAAGATACAGACAGACACTGGGAGAGATTGGAAGAGTGCAATTGGAGATATAGAGAGACACTGGGAGAGATAGGGAAAGTTCGATTGGAGATATAGAGAGAGACACTGGGAGAGATATGAAGAGTGCAATGGGAGTCTACATGGAGATAGCACAAAGGAAACAGTAGAGCATAATGAGAATGGGGACACAAAAGAAAGATAGTGAACATGGGAGAAACGTTTGGAAAACAAGGACTGATGAAAACTGGAGGTAGGTGAATTTAAGATGCCTTTGTAAAGACAATACTGGATGTAAAAAAACTGTGTACCGTAAAACATGAAAAGGCTTTCAAGGGGGGCTGGGCCTGAGCTCTATGGCACCTGGATGTTCTTTATGTAAGCAACTGGCTTGATCTCCCAAATTGTTGCCACAACCGACTTTCAGCCAGCTCAAAAGATACACCTTGCAACTTACCTGTACCTGGAGCCAGCTGAGGTACCCTGTATACAGCTGCCAAGCTCTATTATCCAAGCAAATATCTACAGCCCTTATATAACTACTAAAATCACCACCCACTAGGAATGTTTAACACCTGGGTAGGCCTCTGCTTATTTGCAAACAATAGCTAATTAACCAGCAATCAATAGCAAGCACCTAGCTAATCAAATCAAATGCCTTACCAATTACCAACAGAAAATCAAACCTTGTGCATTCAGTAACCTTTTCCTGCAGATGAATCTTACCTATAACAGTAAAAAAGAAAACTCTTAGCAAAATCTTAGAC